TATAAACAAAAGTATAACATGTGATTTAACAAAAACATGAGTGAATGAAGTTGTTACATGAATTTCAACTAAAAGTCATCCAAATTGCATGTCACATTAGGGTTTGAAGAGAGGCAAAGTAAGATATTGTAGTCGAAAAACATGAAGTTGATCCTTGGAAAGAAAACCAAATAGATGATCAGGTAAAAAACCAAAACCCACATTAGAAAAAAAAAGATGACGGAAAATGATTAGTGATTAGAAAATTCGTAATCTGAGAACCATTGTTAAGATGTGTAATAATATGTATTTAAGTCTAAGTTTTCAAAACCATGGTTTCATTTTCATGGTATAACACATACGGTCGTTCTCTATGAGATCAAAGACACTGAATGACAGGATAAAGCAATAACATACGACTATATGCACCTTCTTTCTTCCTGAACTTATATTACTAAACTTTTCTTCTTTCTTGATGTATTTTACTTCTACTAAAAGTTCCAACAAGATTCACAAGTCTCTAATTTACGTTGATGATAAATAACATCAAGAATAGAGAACCACTCACCACAATTCCATTTACTCGTGGATTGGAAGAGTGCATCATGACAGATAATACAATAAGTATGATAAGCTTCAGGGCAATTCCTGCAGAAAAAAACCATCAACATTACATTAAGCAACTCAATCCAAATAAGTTAAACCTTGTAACCCAAAAGAATCATCAATTACCACAGTCACCATTAAAGGAAATCCAGAAAACATCCTCCTGTCAAAAAAGAAAGTACAACATCATCTGTAGTAGGCCCAAGTGCAGACTGAATCTCCCCTGAAATTGTAGAGAAAAAGGGGAGATGGAGGAAGGATCGATTGTGGATGTGGGGGATGTGGGGGAAGCATCGATTGTGGCGCCTATGACGATGAGTGGTGGGGTGGTGGCGGGTTGGATCGTAAGTTAGGTTAGAGAGAGAGGCAGGTATGGATCCTGGTGGGGGTTCGTTGCCGGAAAATCGATGTGATGGAAGAGAGACGATGGAGATGGCGTTCGGATGCGATGATGTTGCGGAAGAAATGAGGATGAAAGCAGTGACGGCAACTCTTCGATTAGGGTTTATGGGTTTAGGATCGAGAGAAAATGTGATGTTATAGAGAAATTGTTTAATTTTTCTCAGTTAATGAAACGTATACCTTTTGTTTTTTTGTTGAGTTAAATAGAAGGAAACGTTATTATTAAAAAATATGTTGTTATAAGCTTTACGTCTAGTAAACATTAAGCATAAAATGGTTGTAGATGTTGTATTAGGTTTTGTACCTCTTAATATTCAAGAAATATAGAATATGTTATATATATAGATATAGATATTATATATATATATATATATATATATATATATATTAATATATATATATATAGATATACGTTGAGAAGTCACAGTTTCCCGAAACCTGAGACTAAGGTGGAGCTTTAGATCAAAATTAACTCATTAAGGGCATGATCGTCATCTTACAAATCTCATTTAATGTTTAATTTTTTTGGTTATTGGAAATATTAATAAAAAGTTCTAAAATTTGACATAATAAATCAAATTTCGGATTTAAAAAAATAATAATTCTTGCTCTTTTTTTTAAATGGATATTTTTAATTTTTTTTTCAGAAAACATGAATTTAAAAAAAAAAAGTTGAATTTTTTTTAAAAAAACTCCATTTTTTTTAAAAAAAAACTATAGTTTTTTTAAAAACATGTATTTTTTTAAAAAGTAAATTTTTAAAAAATCAGTAAATTTAAAAAAAAAAAAAAAAAAAAAAAAACTAGAATATTTTTTTAACAAAAAAATCAACGTTTTAGGTGCATATATGCATATTTTTTCAAATGCATATATGCATATTTCTTATACTGAAATATTCGTAAGTAAACCATAAAAATCTCATTTTTATTAATCAATTTATAAACATAACACTACAAGTATTTTAATCGATACAAAATAAAATATAAAAAAAACTACAAAGATTCACAGTGTTATCATTTCTTCATATCAAGATTTCAATATTTTCTTCAATTTATCACCTTTTCACATATTCAATATTTTCCACAAATTCTTCAAAATCTACAAGAAAATTTAAAAAAAAAATTAATGCAAGAACACTCACAAAAATGCACATGTATATATCATGTAAGATTCACATGTGATTATATCATGTAAGATTCACATATGATTATATAATGTGATATTCACATGTGATTGTATATTTTAATATTCAAATGTGAAATTCACAAGAAACTTTAAAAAAAATAATTAATGAAGAACAATCACACAAAATGCATGTGTGCATATAGACGTAATTCATATGTGATTTTGTGATTTACATGTGAATCACATGTAATTTATATGTTATTCACTTGTGATTTACATGCGAATAACATGTAATTGATATGTGATTCACTTGTGATTTACATGTGATTAATATGTGAATCACATATAATTATATGATTCACTTGTGAATCACATGTAATTCATATGATATGTGATTCACTTGTGATTTACATGTGATTAATATGTGAATCACATATAATTATGTGATTCACTTGTGAATCACATGTAATTAATATGTGATTCACTTGTAATTTATATGTGAATCACAAGTGAATCATATGTGAATTACATGTTATTTACATGTGAATCACATGTAATTCATATGTGATTCACTTGTGATTTACATGTGAATCACATGTAATTCATATGTGATTCACTTGTGATTTACATGTGAATCATATGTGAATTACATGTGATTTACATGTGAATCACATATAATTCACATGTGAATTACATGTTATTTACATGTGAATCACTTGTAATTCATATGTGATTTACATGTGAATCACATGTAGTTCATATGTGATTCACTTATGATTTACATGTGAATCACAAGTGAATCATATATGAATTATATGTGAATCACATGTGATTCATATGTGAATTACATGTGATTTACATGTGAATCACATGTGATTCATATGTGAATTACATGTGAATCACATGTAATTCATATTTGCTTCACTTGTGATTTACATGTGAATTACATGTGATTCATATATGAATCACACATTCACATGTAATAAGTGTATTTGATAAGTTATATATGAGTCTTTTTTTTTGCTTAATTGACTAAATGAGAACCAAACTTAATTCCATAAGATATATATGTGTGTGTCTTTATGACTTAATTCAGAAAGAACTTAATACAATAATACAAAAAGCCAACGAAAGAAAGCTTTTTTTATTCCCATTAAGTACTAATTTTTAACAAATTTCCAAACTTTTTTTAGTAAAAAAATAAAACAATCAGAAAGGTTGCAAGTTGTATTTTGTTTTAATTAAAAAAATAGATTACTAGACTAATAGCATTATTTTCATGACCATATTAAAAATATTGAAATAACAAACCTGCCATGCAAACTGCTTGCCATTCATGTCTACTTCAAAATCTGATGAACAAAAAAAATTAATCATGAAATTTAAGTTTAAAAAACTTCAAACCTATTTATAAAGTACAAAAATGCTCATTTTTTTTCATACCTGTTGGATAAAAATCAACAATTGGCGAGTTTGGATCTGTCACTAATTTTCTATATTGTTCTGGAAGTGCATGTGCACTACAAATATTTTCAAGGTAAAAAAAATAAACAAAGTTAGAAAATATAAAATATAAAATAATCTTGAAATAAGAGAAAAGGTAAATGGTAAAAGAACGAAATTAACCTTACAATAGGAAAAACCCTAGCAGCTGATTAAACGGTTTAAAAGGCGAACCCAACTCAAAGATTATATTTAACTTATTAAGATCCTTGAGATCAGAAGCAAATGATGCATAATGGTAAATATAAAACCTGGAAAAAAAAGTTTGAAATCAAAAATGAAAAAAAAACATAACAAAACCTTATATAATGCAAATATGTCCGATTGAAAAGGCAAAAACAATAATAAACAGTTAAACACCTTAAAGGGGAAAAATTATCACTACCATGAACCACCACCTTCATATTAATAGTGCATCACCCAATAGGCTTTCTGTATATTTTAGAACCTATAAAGAATTGCATCAAATAATTTTAAATAATAGGTAACAATATAACAAGGATTTTATATGATGTGTACGATGATTTTACATCATAAAATGGTAAATAATTGGCGTAGTTTTTAACAATTTTAGAGACTTACAACATCTCTCCTTATTGCATCCACCTCCTTAATAGTTTTAGTTGAAAACTTCTATTCATAATACCGTTCCTTCCACTTGGGGACGCCTAATTTAATCTGGCAAAAAAACATAAATGAAATTCCTTATATACCCTTTATATTATCTCAATAATCAGTTTCTAGTGTTTGTTCTCAAGTTCCTAAAAAAAGACTTAAATAAACTAAATACTATAAAATGATGATGTAGTTACTAAAACCATCCAACTTCCATAAACCATTATATAAACTATTCAACTTTTTAAGGTTTCTTGGTTGAGGATACCAACAAAATAGAGTAGTTTAAGCTAAAAAAAATATTAACTGTTTTGTGACAAATTCACCAAATTAAAGAAATTCAGATTAATAAAATTAAACGTGAATAAGTAGTATCTGTCACAATCAAAGAAGAATTCAGATCAAAATTGAAGAAACTAACATACCTTAAAAATCTTTAATTTTTGAACATCACAATCTCTCAATCTCAACCTTTGAAGATATTGGAGTAATTCACAGGTCACCATATTGGAAGTCTTCATTGATTGTAGGATATCTTCACTGTATAAATTTAGATGAAAAATAACACATAGCAGTGAACTCTTTAATAAAAACCTAGTGAAAAACAATTCTTAATTACCAACAAAACACTGAATGTTGACAGACCTTCACACCACCTGTAGCTGCAGCAAGATCCTCCTTTGCTTTGTTTCTTGATGTACTCTGAAAATTAAAGATTCAACAATCACTTTACTTATGTCACCCCAATCAAGTAAATGAATGGAGACATTATCTTATAATCAATTTAATATTAACAAAAACTTAAGGGTGTAACTATCTTAAACTTAAGGGGAAACTAGAAATAACAAGTGATAAAGTGTAGATTATCGGTGGTGGAGCATAGTAAGTCAACGGAAACGAGCAAGTGATGTTGTACTTCAATATTTGTGGTATTTTTTCTTTCATGCATTTCATCAAGCACCTTTGGTGCATTTTTCTTCTCCCTCTTTTTTTTACCAGAATACACATTCGATATATCCATTTTCTTGACCTGTGATTATTGCAACTTTAGAAAATTAAGGGATAAAGGTGATTTGTTGGTAATTAATGTCATTGATTGAAATACTTTGTAACAGTGGAGCGTTGACATGTCTGGGTTTTGAAGATATCCATTTAACAACTGGATGAATAAATCGCTTAATTCTTTCGTTATTGCTGGCTATTTGCATTGTTTGATTAATTGTTAACGTTTGTGATTCAGTATGCATATGAAAAAGTTTAGATTACCGCAAGATTCAGTGAAGCAACAACGGCATGTGGAAGTCGTTCGTGGACATCGTGTCAGTTCGAAGTGTTAAAAGGATTCGATCGGAAGATTGTTTCTAGGTCTAATGAATCGATAGAACAACAAAGGTAGGGATTTGATTTAGTAAATGAGGCAGAGATGTGAATCAATCAACAGAGATGAGGTGGAGACACGAACCGGTCGTCGGAGATGTTAATAGATTAACAGAGATGCGAATCAGTCGCCGAATTTGTTCTCTTCTGATGAACTGAATCGAGAGATTGTCGGTGGTGGTGTTAACGAATGAATCATCTATGTCGATTATATATAGATTAACAAGTGCGGATCGTAAATCTACGTCGATCGGCGACCGAAGTAGCGACAGTCGATGGAGGGAGGTGGGAGGCGATAGAGGGAGGGAGGAGGGAGGTGATCGATAATCAATGGAGAAGGAAGAGATGTGCAGAAGACGAGTGTGTGTGAGAGAGAGAGAGAGAGAGAGAGAGAGAGAGAGAGTAATATATGGATTTTAGATTAATTGGTAATTTATATTTTATTTATTTTTGAAATGATATTGTTTATGCCAAATTTACCCCTAAGGTCTATTGATAAAAACCTAAAATGCCATTAAATTTATTTATAATTATAATTATGTCATTTTTAATCTAAGCCATATAATCTTTTGATCTGACGCTCCACCTTTAGTTCTCGGGTTCTTGGGAAATTTTGAGTTCTCAAATGATCCTCTATCTCTCTCTCTATCTCTCTCTCTCTCTCTCTCTATATATAATATATTAATATATATATATATATATATATATATATATAATCTATATAATATAATATACTATATAGATAGAATATGACAAAATTGCAAAAATGGTCCCTGTGGTATGCATTTTTTGGGGTTTTAGTCCAAAACCCACGACTTTTTTGGCTTCGTGGTCCTTTTGAGCTAGTTTCATTGCGGATTTGGTCCCTCGGTAAATGAAATGACTTTAAATACCCTTGGGTATTTATTGTTCTATTTCTAAATTAATTTTTTTAAGTTTTAATAATTTATTCATATTTAATAATTAAAAAAAAAAAAATGAAAGGGCCATCTCTCTCTCTCTCTCTCCTCCATCCTCTCTCTCTCTCTGGTCTTGCAAAACATGAAGGAGAATAACACATGTTATCCCTACCTTTCTTTTTCTAATATTCTTCTTGATTCAACTTTCCTTCCCTCTGATGGAACCTCTCACGCTTTGCTTTGTAAGAAGCTGCTGGTAAAGATAAGCTTTAAACAGAGCTTCCTTTCTGATAATTTTTGGCATGCTTCTGCTCGTATACATACAAAAACTTGTATCTCTAAATATACCACTACTTTCTCTCTCTAAAACTGCACTAATTTCTCTTTGTATAAAAGATATAATTGGATTGATTTCAATGTATGAAAGCTAGGTATGGAGGTGGATGAAATTGAAAGACAACAACTACTTCTCTACACAGATTGGGATTTTTAGGAAGGATTGATTCAAACCCAAATTGGGATTTTCAAGAAGATGATAGAGTGACCAATTTCACCGTAAATTCTATGGCAAATGACGAAGAGGGTGATTTCAGACACCAGAATCGATGCCCCTCATCCCACCCACCACGATTTTGATCAAACTCTGACCATTGTTATCGTGTGGTTAATTCTGCTTGCTTCGATTTTTCTCCATTTTGTGGGTCTCGATTTTCTCCGGATTACACTCTACTTCAACATCAAGGGGAACACGATGGCAGTGTTTGATTTGAAATCCGACAATCGGAATCGGGGTCTGTGCCATTTTTGTTTTCTCTAAAATCTCACCTAAAATTTCAAATCGTTGTTCTTCGTATATTGCTTTACAAGCCTGAATCAATTTCAAAGGAAGATTAGGGGTAGGCATAGAGGGAGATGGATGGTTTTAATTCATCGAAAATGGTAGACGGTGGTGAATTTGTGACTGGTTACAGGGGAGGCCGCCGAACAGTAAGATGAATCGATCTTCATGTTCATGCACTAGAATAAATCTATGACCTTTGGTTTTTACTCTGGAAAATCATGTGTGAATGGACCCAAATTATTTCATATATGGGTGTATGTAAACTAAGAACTGAAGAAATCCCTTTCATCTACAATTCTCAAAAACAATGTTTCACGATTTCAATTTCAATGACTTCTGTTACCAACTCATTCAATGTTACCTGAATATTTAATTGATTGAAATCACACAAACATGTAGTTAAAAAAACTAGAAAATCGAAAGAAATCGTGCAAGAAGACAAGAAGTGTGTGAACCAAAAACTAGTTCTTGATCTGGGTTTCTGCTAGGAGAGAGAGAGAGAGAGAGAGAGAGAGAGAGAGCGAAAGAGAAAGAGAGAAAAGGCCCTTTTTTATTTATTAATTATTACAATAGATATATATATATATATATATATATATATATATATATATATTAAATTTAAAAAAATGAAAGAAAAATGAAAAATAAATACATGAGGGGCATTATAGTCATTTTAGTTTACTGAGGGACCAAATATGTATCGAAACTAGGCCAAAATAACCACCAATCCAAAAAAGTCGAGGTTTGGACTAAACCTCAGAAAAAATACATACCACAGGGACCATTTTTACAGTTTTTCTCTCTCTCTCTCTCTCTCTCTCTCTCTATATATATATATATATATATATATATATATATATATATATATATATGACAAAATTGCAAAAATGGTCCCTGTGGTATGCATTTTTTTGGGGTTTTAGTCCAAACCTCGACTTTTTTGGATCGGTGGTCCTTATGAGCTGGTTTGCTTGTAGTTTTGGTCCCTCGGAAAACTGAAAAGACTAAAATACCCTTGAGGTATTTCTTTTTCATTTTTCTTTCCTTTTTTATCTATTTTTATAATTAAAAATTTAAGAAAACTCTCTCTCTCTCTCTCTCTCAAATAAACCACCGAAGACTCAATTTTCGATTATCTCCACCCTCGAATAACCCATCATCATCGACGATTCTTCCTTCCAGCTATGGGGTATTAATCCAGCCAAAAAGACATCACAAATGATTTTAAAATGCAAAGAATCGGGAACTTTCTCATCCATGCTTCGAGAAGTGATAGGGTTGGGCTTAATTTGATGTTGAGGGAGGACATTTCGCCTAATGTGCAGGATTATGATAACATAACTGCTCTTCATCTAGCTGCCAGTGAAGGTCATGATTCGATTGTAGAGCTTCTTCTACACTACAAGGTCGATGTTAATCTCGATGATAGATGGCACAAAACTGTAAGAATTGGGTTTTCGTTGTTAACTTTTTTAGGGTTTCGAAATTGGATTGTCGATTGGAATTGGATGATAAGATCTAACAACAATTAATGTCTTACAACAGGGGAAGGAGACGAACGGGATGACGGCAGCGGGGAACCGGGAAAACATCACTGGTGATTCTAGTTCTTCGACAGGGGAAGGAGACGAACGGGATGACAGTCGTTGAGAGGGCTGTGAAGGGGTATCGGGACAGTACAACAACAATTCCGGGGGTGTTTGACAACGGGTGCTCGGTGGAAATAGGCGGAGAAGGTTGGGATTGCCTCATTTGAGTTTGTGGACTGTCTCATTTGAGGTTGCATTCTTCTTGTTCTTCCATACGATGAATATAACTAAGAGGATGAAGATGAAGATGGCTACTGGAAGAAGGGATAGAAGTAGGTGGTATGCGATACTTTCACCATGCCTCATGTTAGAGACTAAATTAATTAAGAAGCGTTCTAAACTCTTTGTGTTGGATACAGATGAAATATTTTTGTTGAACTTTCTTTTGGTTTGACAAGGGAGAGGTAGAAGATGAGAAAAATCAAGCCGAGAGAGAGAGAGAGAGAGAGAGATATGTGGGCCTAAACTAATTATTTATTTTCTTTTTCATTTAAATTAAATAGAAAAAACATAAAATATATATCAGAAGGGCATTATAGTCATTTCAATTTTACGAGGGACCAAATTTACGTGCATACATGGCCAAAAGGACCACGAATCCAAAAAAGTCAGGGTTTGGACTAAAACCCCAAAAAAATCCATACCACGGGGACCATTTTTGCAATTTTGTCTATATATATATATATATATATATATATATATATATATATATATATATATATATAGGCTTAGGTTATTATATTCAAAGTAATTATTGTGTTATTGTATGCATAAATGTGGGCCAATCATTTTACTTATTTTAAGAAAGTAATTAATACATATTATTGAATTAAATATAATTGAAAAATACCATCTAATTTAACTAGAAGGGTATTTTAGTCAATTAATATATATTTAATAAAGGAAATTTGCATATTCTAAGGGATCATAGATTCTATTAATTTTAAAAATCCGATTTTACGAATTATAAGGTTTTTAATTCGGACATTCTAACAAAATATGTTTGAGTATGTTCAAAAATAAAAATATTCTTGAACCATAAAATAATAAAAATATTCTTGAACATATTTCTTGATCATGACTTAAAAAATTTCTTGTAGAATAACAAAATTCTCGAACCATCAATTGAAGAATTAAAACAAAAATTACATTAATTGTTATAGAATACATGTAACAATTGCTAAGAATTACATTTATTGTTAAAGAATAAAACTAAAAAAACTTTCAAATCTGGGAAAAAAAACATCAAAATCTAACAAATACACTAATACATTCTAAAAGAATAATGTTGCTAAGAGGCGTCGTTCAAATTTCGTGGTCTGTTCTTCAAGCATCAGCTTCTGTGGAAACAAATCCAATGAATAAATTAGTGAGAAAATATCCATATTCCATTTCAACATAATTGTAATTCGTGATTCCATTATGATAGAATTGGAATTCATTTACCAATAATTATATTAATTCGGGGAATTCTAACAGAATATGTTCATGATTATCATAAAAAAAACATTCTTTTCTGGTAGAATACTATAAACGAAGAAATACCATTCAGTTGAAGCATTTTAGCGAGCGCTTGGTGTGCATCAAAACAACTTTCAATTTCTTGTAAAAATTAGACAATCAAAACAAATTCCCAATTCACCAAAAATATTACACCTTGAAAGAATTAGACAATAAACCTAAACACATCCAAAATTTCTTTGATTTCTGTCAAACAATCAACTCAAAACATCCATTCTATATATTGAAATCAAATCAAATTAAAAAAACCCATTTGAAGATTAAACTTCATTGGTTTACAGTAAATCAATCTAAAGTACACCTGCAAACAAGAACACGTTTGTGTTTCCTTTCCTTCCCTGTCAAACACCCAATCCAAACACCCATTGGTTTCTATCAAATGAAACAAACCCAAACACCCCAATGATTTCTATCTAACAGTCAAACAAAAAGAAAAGGGAAGAGAACTTGTTACTGATCGGAGCAACACCCCTCACAACCCCTCTTCTTCTTCCGTCGAGCAAACCCACCGAGGACCCCGACTTCTTCACTTCTGCTGATCGCAACACCCCACCATTTTTCCTTCGTCCCTTCAACTTCGTCAAACCACGGAGATGACCTCCCTTGTCGCCGATTGAAATCGCTCCTCCTATATTCGCACCTCTGATTCGGAGGAGAAAGAGCGAAATCTCGCTGCCTCATGCCTTCCTTCCTTTGGTTCGGCCAAAAACTGGAGATGGTCACTTAGTTTGATTGATTACCACCACCAAGACCACCTCTGTTCGATGCTTGATCGCTCAATTCTTCCCTCTCCCGATCTATGAAGAAGGCGATGAAGGGCAACCCCACAAAGGGTCGCTGGTGTCGATGGATCCCCTCACCCTTGCGGTTAATCAATCGCCATCGACCCACCAATCTCCCTAATTCTTGTTCGTGTGTCCTGCTCTTCGATCAGACGAAGGAAGAAACCTGTTCCCATCGATTCTTGTTGAATGCGAAAATCTTGTTGAAGCTCATCGCGCGGGTAGCGTCACTCTCGAACCCAGAGACTTCTATTTAAATGTTGTTCCTCAACTCGCGATTAGATAAAGACTGCAGCTCCGGATTACCGACAGCCATAACAGCGTATGGCGGGTGGAGATCGGCAGCAACAGCAAATGATGGTGGCGGCGATCTTCTGTTTTGGAGCTAGGGTTAGGGAGGATCGAATGAGATAGAATACAGTATTGTTGATTGTTTTAAAAAAGGGATAAAGGTAGGTCAAAGTAATTACCATAATTATAGGAGTGTATTTGTAGAAATTATTTATCAAATTACTAAATTACCCTTATTTATTTGTTTGATTATTTATTTATTTTTTTAAATTTTGATTGGCTCACATTTATGTATACAATAACACAATAATTACTTTAAACACCTGAACCTATCTCTCTCTCTCTCTCTATATATATATATAATATATATTATATATATATATATATATATATATATATATATATATATATATATATATATATATATATATACACCCACACCGCCTTTTAAAAGGCTAAATATTTGCCATAATCGAAATGAAAATTGAAAAAAATGGCCCACATTAAATATTTGATAATTATGTCGCATACATAGTACCCTCCTCTGTCAAGTGTGCGCGCCTTGTTTTGGACGCAGTTAAATTACTCGAGTATTAAATATCTGAAAGTGAATTTGTAGGGCATGAAGTATTATTTTTGCGCATAGGTATTCAGTGCATATATTAAGTATTAGTTTTAACTTTTAAGACAAAACTTCATAAACGGTTTCGTATTTTTTTATAAATTGGATTTTATTCTCTAACTAAGTGTATAACCCATGTATTACATGGATCTATTTGAAATAAAAATTAAACACATAATTCTAAACATTTGAGAAGTTTAATTTTATAAGAAAATTTAGAAAATATTGAATTACAAAAATTAAAGTGTTCTTTTTCTCTTTTAAATTTAAACAAATAATTTAGATAAATAAATAAAGAAAATTAATGAATGTTTAATTTAGTAATTTTAATATTAGAATGAAAGTTCATTAATGAAATTAATATGCATTTATTATTGCATTTAAATACTATTTGGATTTAATAAAATGAAAAAGCCATAAAATGACATGTGGAATAAAAATTAATTTAAAATAACCATAAAATTACATGTGGCAAAATAAATGAGAATGTGACATGTGGTAAAAATATCTTTGTTTATTAGGGAGGATACCTATTTTAATAAATGAATAGTTTTAATCTTATTTTGTCAAATGTCATTCTAATACAACTCCTTATTAATATTATGTCATGTGTCATATAAATATATTAGACAACTCATTTCAAAATTAAAATTTACATTTTCTAATTATATGTTAAATTTGAAGTTATAATAACTTTAAAATTTTGATATATCTCTTAATTAATAATTTATTTAAAATGACTTATGTAAAATAATTATAAATTTTTATTATAAAAGTTTAATTAATTTTATAACCGTGGTTCCCACGGGTTATAAACTAGTTCTTTTTTATAGAAGGTTCATGGTTTCAATTTTAATCATGTTTGGTCTTTACATATAATTTTAAATAAAAAAATAAATTAATTAAAACCATCATCCTCACCCCTACTAGTTAAACTCATATTATATTTCTTCCTTCCGCTAACAATTACTTCCCCATCCTCCCTCTCCGACAACTGAAGAACCACCCTCACTACCACAGTGCACCCTCACTACCACAGTGCACCACCACCATCATCCTACCTAATTTGATCGGTCATCATGTTAAAATACAAGGAAAATTAGATAATTCCAAATTTTGCGTTTTAGATGGCATGAGAAGTGTGCTAATAGGAAAATCAACTGTTTATGAGGTTTATGATGATCATAATACGAACGAGAATAGATGGGTGGAGAGATATTTTATGCAATTGCCAGGGAGTTCGTAAAAAAAAGAGGTTAAGATGATCAAACTGAGGATGGGTAAGTCAAACTGTAACAACATACTTTCTTTACAATCAGAGGAAGAGAAGTCACCATTGATGATGGGTTCATCTTCTATGGTTGAAATGATGGAGTGTGGTGGTTTAACGGTGGGTCTGGTGGCGATGATTAAGGTGATACTGAAGAACGAGCGATTGGTATCTATCTTGAGCTTCATTTCTTTCATTAATGATGATGACCACAACAGACTATGTTAACTCCGCATGTAACACCTGTTTTCCACAATGGATCAGTTAGTAACCTAAAATAGTCAAAGATAAGGTTTCTAAGGAAAACCTCATGCCATGACATTATAACACCCGGTTTCAAGTTACTTTTCATTTTGACCCTTAGTGTGTAGATAGTTTGCAAATTTGGTCCCTAGGGGCATTGTTGCCATTTTTAGAAAAATAGGAGTACGCTGGGCGTACTTCTTGTATGCATGGTGTACGCAATTAGGGGACAAACCCTACTTTTAGAGTTTGGAGCCTATTTAAGCAACATTACGACCCATGATCCTCTCAATTCCAAGCTTCCATTACCCTTTGAGCCTCATTTCGAAACC